AATTTCTCTCCTCAGACCAAGAATGAAAGACGACATATCTCACCATGGATTTTACAAAGTTCCTCTCCTCGCCATTTCAGGGGCTGTAACACCGTCTTCCTGGGAGACAGAGGAGAAGGGTGAAACTGCTTTGGTTCTCAAAGCCAAGGCAGCCCTTTTCTAAAGAATGATTAGGAAAGGCACTCCCAAGGCCATGATCTCCAGTATGCCTCCTTAAGGATGTGTGAGGAAGCCGCTTGGGGCAGAAAATCGGCTGCATTTCCTAGTTTCAGAGTCTTGAGTTCCTGGTGAGCAAACCCAGCATTCACAGGGAGCTCACACACCACACAAACATAGCCAGTCTTACAGGAAGAAGGTTGGCCGTGACAGCCAACACACCTATTCACCATGTCCTTTTTCCTCTGGGCTCAGCTCACTTCCTTATGGAGGGACAAGTCCAACAGACAGGCACAAACCAGGCTCCAGAGCAGCTCAACACATCCTTCTTCTGAACACGCTGGAGGACTTATGTCCTTGAGAATCCTTCAAGAAATTCTCCCTGCTTTTGGGCACTGGTAAATTGACTGCACTAGCTGTAGAACTTAAATAACCTTCTCGCCATTCTTTTGGTCCTGCCCACAATACACCAGGTTGGAAGAGGCTAAATGGAAAATCAATAACGATTCCTCCTAAAATGACAATGCCGTTTCAGAGCAGGATTGATGGTGTGCACAAAAGGTCAGACAGCCCCCAAGGTGATGTTGCTTCCAGAACCTCCTGAAAACATCCATATTTCAGAAGAACTTGCTTGGTTGGGAGCCGTGCCCTGTTATCCACAAAGCAAACCCACAGCTTGTTGCGGGTTGGGAACTCTAGGTTGTTTGCTATGGCTTGTTATCTCAGCTGGATTCAGACAGCACAGTAGCTCGTGTTCCAGCAACAATCTGTGGTTTGAGGACAACCCACCCTTAACCTATACTATCCTTATCCTTGAGAACAGGTTATGTTGTCTGGACTGAGCCTGCATTCCAGGCTGGACTCCAGCCCACCCAAGCCTGGTTGCCAGCTCTCCTCCTGGGGGACTAAGGGTCTGCTTCCCTTTGGAAAAAAGCGTGGCTCTGTTCACACAAACATGTCAAGCAACCCAAGCAACCCAGCACCATCCCATGGTTCATGGTTTGGGACCGCAAACTTCCAGATGGATGTAGAAACCGAGTGGTTTCTACATTATTGAGGTTTCCATCCTCCCTGCTTGGTCCTTCCACTGTTGGCACATATCCCATCAGCCACTGAGCCTCAAAGGCACATCAATCCCTGCCTGTCACTGTCTCTTCTTCATTGGCCACCATGCATTGGCGGGATGGTGAAAGAGGCTCCCACAGTTGCGACTCTTTCCAGGGGACCATGGAAACCATGATCGTGGATCATGTTGCTCTGGAGAAACCCTAGAGCAAACTGCTCTTTCTTACCGTAGTGGCTGGAGCCTAACTTACCATGGTGAAATGACATGAGTTGGTTCAATCAGCACAACAATGCAAGTGGCAAAAACCACCATGGCTTGTTGTATTGTCTGAACCCAGCCACTCCTTGACTGATTGCTGAAACATAAGTTACCAGAGGGATTTGGTGCTATAGAAATAGTGGTATAGAAATAGAATAGGTAATAATTGTGTTGTCTGAACCAAGCTGCGCAAATAAGCTATGGCTTGTTACCTATCTCAACTGGGTTCACACAATGTGAAAATAACCCATGGTTCAACATCAGCTCTTGAGTGTGTGTTACAGACCATGGGTCATATCACCTGAACTCAGTCTTCTGCGCAAATATAAATATAGACTTCCCAGATTTGGTGAAGCTGTTTCCGTACTCTAAAAGGTTGGAATTCCTGGAAGAGCCTGAAGATACAATATAAGGATATTGGCAGGGGATGGGGTATATTTTTTGGCCTTCCTGGTTTATCTTTGGTCCCACTGGCAGAAGACGTCCCTGAAATGAAATTTGGCCCTTGTGCTTCCCAGTTCCAAAAGCTTCCTAGGACCCAGAAATGGGAACAGGGCAGCGATGCGTGAGCAAGAAGGAAAGCTGAGCAGGAGGAACTGCCAAGGCTGAAATGAGGGAACAGTGCCTGGAAAAGTGAACTTCTAATCTAACACTCTGTCGTTTTCACATGTGCTTATTATTCATTATTCCACCCACCTTCCACTGCAGTTGAGCCAACAAAAAGTAAAAGACACGGCACCACAGCTGACACACAAAAGAAAACCCGGCAATTAAATATGCAGATTAAACAGCATAAATATTAACATAAATCTATAACTGCAGCACAATTGTAACTATTTGTTTATAGCACCTTTCCAACACTCCCTCAAGGTAGAACCGTACGAAGGACCATCTAGGGCAGAGAAGGAGAAAGCAATTCTGTGACTGCTAAGATAGAAGCAGTCTCGGCTCTCATGGGGGGCCATGAGAGCCTTCAGCTTCCCAAAATCAAGGTCAGAAACAGCGCTCCAACCTCGAGCTGGGAACTGTGCTGTGATCCCCCCCACCCCCCAAACCTGGCATTGAAAGAATGATGGCAGCTGCCTCTTCAAGGTCGGGAACTCAACCTCGGAGAGGGGGTACAGCTGGTGTTCTGGTGTACAGAGACGGGTATGCAAGGAATAAGCTATGATGGAAATGGTTTCCTCTGCTGCTTCCCCATCCCCACCCCCCTCACCATCCCAAAACCTCCATTTACCAGAACCTCCATCTACCAAAACTGCAGGGGAGGAAGTGTGAAAGGTGGAGGTTTCCTCAGCCACTCCTTCTGGTCTGCACAAGATGGTCAGATGTCTACAAGTTCAGAGCCTGCAACCAAACCCATGATTGTACCAGACACAAAAATGAAGCTTGCAGTTCTCTTGAATCACATTTCTTAAGGGAATATTGGGTTGCACAGAGCTTCCCATGCCCTAAGAGCGCTTCGTATGATCTCACCCTTGGATGCAGTCCACAGACCCCAGAAAAGGCTGGAGGCTAAAGAAGCCCATAGGCAGAGCCAAAGCAGTATTGAAAAGCAAAATAACGAGACATGGCTAAGGCGGAAAGACAGAGCCTCTGGCCCAAAATAGGCCACCCCGAGGAAGAGGGGGTGGGGGCTCTGGAGTGGATGGAAATCAGACACGTAGCTCCCCGCTCAGCTGTGGGTTGAATGGGGGGCGGGGGTATCTTGGTGTCCTCCAAATTGTGGAGTTAGCTTGCAGCTGGGGAGGTGTCAACCCCCAGCCCATGAAGTGTGACCCACAGAAGGCTGACCTCCTGAGGTTTGGGGCCGAAGACTGACCCAGCCCTGCCATTAAAGACAAGGCGTACTTTCCTGGCCCAGCTGTTTGGGGACTTAGCAACAGGGCCTTTTGGCCCATGGCGCTTCCGCTACCTGCCCAAAACCCACTTGCAAAGCAGTAGAGCCGGCTCGAAGTCAAGGTTGCAGTCACGGTTCCCCTTAAGGGAAAGTTGGTTCTTTGCAGCCAGAGGGTTTTGCCTACAACTCCCACTGACCCTCACGGTTGGCTGTGCTGCACGGTGCTGGTGGGAAATTTCGCTCAAAGCTCCAGAGGGCCACCACTCGGGCCACAATGTGGGCAAAAAGGATATGGGGCCACGGGGCAGGCCCCACTTTGCAATGCAGGAGGCCCCCTGGCTCCTCTGGGTGGCGGTGGGGACTGGGAAAGATGCCCATATCTGATCTAACATGCCATAAGGTGGCTTCATATATTCCTCAGCCCTTTACTCAGAACAATGAGGACTAGAATCTTAATTTCCTTGCAAGGAAAAGAGGCAGCGTTCAGTGGTAGTGACTCCGCAGTAGCACACGCGTTTTGCAATTCACCATGTTCCATGTTTCACTCATACCATCTCCAGACCAAACTGGTAAAAAACCTCCACCAGAAGCCTTGTCTGGTGTGAAGCAGCTTTACCCAAACTGGTGCTCTCCAGAGGTGTTAGACTACAACTTCCATCACCCCCATCACTGCCCATGTTGGCTCGGGTTGATGGGAGCTAGAGTGTTGTTTTGGAGCACTGCCTGAATAGGTGATAGGCCATTTGTGCTCTGGATTATAAATTGAATAAGCCCTGAACCTGGTGGAGTTCCCATAACCAATGGACAGGCCAATGGACAGGGGTTATGGGAATTGTAGTCTGAAACATCGGGAAGGCACCAGGATACCGATCTTTGTCTTAGAACCACATGGGATATGAACAAAAATTACAACAACACACACAAAGATGGTTGTGAATACCTAAAGCCTTCAGTAAATAACAATTCTTGTTTTCAGGTGTTCAGTCCCCTTTCCATGTTTTATTTAGCCATTATCCTCACAACAAACCTGTAAGGTAGGTCCATCTTATCATTTCCCATATGACAGAAGCTGAGATTGAGATTAGCCCAAGTTTATGACAGAGGCAAGACCCAAACAAGGAAATCTTTTATTTGTAGCCCAGCCTGTACTACAACAGTTCCACTATTTTCTGGGCAATTAAAATGAGGACTAGAACCATGAAAAGTCACCACTTCATCCTAGGGGTGATTTCCATGTGTACCCTTAATAACTCAAAGGTCAAACTCTACAAAGAAGATTTTTCACATCACCTTGGACATGGTGCTTTTTAAAAAATGTTCACACATTCAAGCCCTCCAGGATGAATACATTACTGAAACACATGTGGGTCAGATCCCTATGCCTTCTCCAAATAGCAGGTGTTAATTTCTAATGTCTGGACTTACAGCTCAGCTCATTTGGCATCCCTCCTCCTTCAATTCCTTTCTGCAAAGCAGTTGTAATGTCATGAGGACTAGACACTTAAGTGTGAACAAAACCACTTAAGAACCTCTGGACTTCCTTAGGGTGTACAAAACTGCACCGCAGGGCCTCAGCAGTTCTGCAGAACTGGCACAAATGCCAGACTTTCTGGGGAAAGGCACTCCCCAGGGAATTGTTTTAGCTGTCCCGGGGCAGCTGTCCCAATAGCCAGTACCTACCTGATCCAGTGGGGTTAAAACCTCCTCGGAAGCTGTGGCCAAGAGTGCTTTGCTTTTGTTCAGGTCAGAGGCTTCCACTTTGATGAGCCTGTGTTTCGGGGAGCCATATTTCCCTTCCAAATTAGTGCTGGCTGCAGCACCCCCCTTGTTTGGGGACCCTCCAGGGTCTGGGTCGGGTTTGCCATCACCATCTTCGTAGGGATCCTCGAAATCTAAACTCTTCTGCGCACGATATGCCTTTAAGATCTCACTCTCTGAGTAATCGGGCTTGGGGGGCTGAGGGGGAGACCTCCTGCTCCCGAAACTCAAGTAATCCTTCAGCCACTTGGCCATCTGTCCCTGCTACCCAACGCCAGGGACTGCCCAGACACGGACGCCTCTTGGCCGAACAAGCAAAACCCGGAAGGGGAAAGACAGATTCATGCTACAGCCACATAATCCTTCATGGGTCAAGAGACTGATCATCCGAATTAGGAGTCGTTCATCTTTTTCCTGTACTCAGCATGAAGAGAATGGAGAAAAGGTGGTTACTTTATTCTGCAATGCACCCAACTGAACATCTGGTTTGAGCTCACGGTCTCTGTAAGGTGAATGTGGGAAATGATGAGAAGCCAGCCCCGTCTGCAGGAGAGAGCTAGACCCTAGCAGAGGTTGGCAAGCTACAAATCAGAAAGGACTGGAATCTTTCCTGCGCAAAGTAGTGCAGAGGGTGGATTTAGGAAAATCGTTCTCTCTCAGCCTCCGCTCCAAGTCTGAAAGATGGGGAGTGAAATCGACCTGCCCAACTGAGTATCTCTGAGTATTGAATACTCTGGACCATGAACTAATCTGGACTAGGCCAGCCTCCTCCAAACTGATGGCCTCCACACCCCCATCACACACCCCATGCCACCATGGCTGATGGGAGTTGTAGTTCAGAAGGCACCATGTTTGACTTAATTACATAAGAGCATTGCAGATTCCTTTTCAAAGTGACTTGGGAAATCCAAGAGCTAAAAGTTACCTCTGACACTGGCTTCAGGTGAAGCTGGACCATAGCTCCCATCACTCCCAATCTACATGGCTAATAGTCAAGGATGATGGGAGTTGTAATCCAGCAACACCGGGGAGCAGATGTTGACTGACACCCCCCCCCCACACACACACACCATTTAGAAGGTGCTGCTCTTTTCTCATCCTTCTTGTCTGGAGGCAGAGAACAAATCAAACTGGCTTCTTTACAGGGGTGTTGTAAGAGCCCTACAGTGGTCAGAGCGGCTTATCATGAATATTCTGTACATGCATCCATTTCATTTCAATTGATATTGCAATGGACATTCTGGGAAAATTGAACCTCTGGGCTTTTAGGAATATTGCTCAAAAGGTGGGGGAGGATTGATGGGGAAAGGTTTATATTGCAGCTATTGGTGAAGCAGGGTTTAATGACTAACACCACCACCACCCCGACCCACGTTCTTAAGCCTTTCAAAACATCATATTTCCTCCTCAAAACCTCTTAGACAAAGCACCCCCCCCCAAAGTCCCAAAGAGATTTTGCAGCTGGGAAATCTAATCCCAATTGGAAATGTAATGAAGAGAGACGGCCACCCCCTCCCTTCCAAAAGCGCACGAACTTTCCCTGGAGTAAGCCCCACTGAACTCAGTCGGCTTACTCCAGAGCAAACAAGCCTAGGCTCAGCCTTCAAAAGATATGCCTTCCCTCGCGCTGAGCCCAAAAAAGAAACCTTAGACTTTTTCTGCTTGCACAAATGTTCACTAACAATGAAAGGTGGACATTGATTACAATCCTGTGCCCGCTTACCTGGGAGTAAATTCCACTGAGCGCAAGGGGTTTACTTCTGAGTAGACATACATAGGGTTGCCCCGTGCGTCTTTTTAAAGGATTCACGCTATCCTAAAAGTACGGGGGAGGAGAGGAAGAAGGGGGGGGGGGGGGAGGGTAAGTTGCATTTACCAGTTTCTTCTGCAGAGATCCGAGGGGGCTTATTCAGCCAAGAGCGATTTTCTAGAATTAAAAAAGCACATTTTTGGGGAAAAAAATTAGACCGCCTTCCAACCATGCGCCCTACCAGGGCACAGCCGAGCGCTTGCTCGCCTCGGCCCCATCCGCCTCCTTGCAAGCCCGGTTCCAGCCCGCTTGGTTTTGTCTCTCGTTTTGAAAAACAAAGTTCAGGCTTTTTGCTTTGCTTTGCCCAGGAAAACCGAATTTATCTGAAGAGACGATCAAAAGGGCAAATTCTCCCTTCTTTGTTTGCCTCTGATCGCCTCTCCAGTGAAAGGGGGAAATTTCCCGTGTGTTTATTTCCACTGCTAATGATATCTCGGAGGGGAGGCGGGGGGCTCGCTTTCTTCCCTTCCCCAAATGAAGACGGATTCAACGTCTCCCCCAGCCGATCTCCTGGAAAATAAAGCGGCAACGTCCCTGCTCCGTAGCCAGACCGGCGAGGCACACGTCATCCGCAATTTTGCTACTTTAACGCGGCTGCTACTCCATTGATCTGTGGCAAAGCCCCGAACAAAACAACACAGAGCAGAAGAGAGAAAGCGGGCGCAGAGGTCTCGCTTCAGAGAGAAAAGAAAAAGGTTGCAAAACATTTAAAAGCTTTCCAACCAACCAAACCTTCTCCATCCTTTCAGGTCCCCCCACACACCTTTTTTTTAAAAGGAAATCTGCAAAAGCTGGAATGGAGAACTTTAATGAATAGCTTGCCCTTCTCCTCCTTGTTTGGATTTTCTCCCCGCTCCTTCTTCCTGGATTCGATCTTTGAATATATTTTTCAAAGCTTCCCTCCACTCCACTGGGGATGGTCCAAAGAGAGGCGCTGCTTCCCTCAGCCCTCGCTTTCCCCCTCCCCAAAAAAGCATGGATACAAAAACAAACCAGCCAAGCCTGCAAAGCAGAGAGCCGGGGGGGGGGGGGGGGGAGGCGGGGGGGGGGGGGGATGAAAGCCAGGAAAGAAAGAATACATCATACTTACGCACGGATCTCTTCCCAATTCCCTCTCTCGCCAACTGTGCTTTCTTCCCGGCCAGAGTATTTGGGAGCTGGAGAAATGGATTTACAGGTTGTTGGGATTTTTAAAAAATGGGGGGGGAGGATATGGGGAGGGGCAAAAAATTGAAGGAGGGAGAGGAGTATATCTGTGCAGCCCAAAGAAGCATTATAGTGAACCCCGGTAGCATATAACTCCCAAGGTGTGTGTGTTTTTTTCTTGGCATATTTTTATTGGAGTGGGGATGGGGGAAGAGAGAAGGTTAAAGAGTCCTTCAGCCTCAGTGCTGGAAAGAGAGCCAGGAAAAAGAGAATCAGCATTCAGTCTCTCCGCACCCCCCCCCCCCCCACATATCCTGGTCCTCCGCAATATTTTCATTTTAATTATGGAGAGGAAGGCATAAAGGGTTGCTAAACAAACAAACCGACCGACCAACCAAGCTTTCCATAAGCTTTCCTTTCCCTAGACTGCTATTCCAAACACATTTACAAGTGAGTAAAGCCAGTGTACACAAAGGGGTTTACCACTGAGTAGGCAAGACACACAGCCAATTTAAGAATAAGGTTGGGGGGGGGGTGACTAAAGCCAAATCTGGGAGTTGGATATATTTGCAATATTACAGAGAAATGGAAGAAAATATTGGAGTTGGAGATGCATTTTCATCCGTGTCATGTAGCAATGTTTGCCTCCTCCTTTTTATGGTGTGTGTGTGGGGGGGGGGCAAAGAAAATGTTTCACCTAGTTCTTTTCTCCCCCCCCCCCGCAATGAATTTTTCAGGAAGGAGCCCCCATCCAACACTTACCTGTGGAAAGAGTAGCCATTTCAGAGCTTTTCAATTCCTGGGGGGGGGGTGGAGGGGGAAGGAATTGATGCTGGGAGGAGGAAACAGAGGAAGTGACCGCCACCAGCACTCACAACAGACCCCCCCCCCCGTGCTTCCTTATTTACTGGCTGATCAATTGGCCTGACCGAAAATTCCTTAAAAAGTGTAATAAAGTTTTCTGTTTGTGTTTAAGGAGTCTGTAGCTCTCTTCCCCCCACTCCCTTTTTAATATTCCAAGAATGGCCTGTGCTTAGTGGTGCTGAAGATCCTACAATTTATGAATACTTTTCTATCTCCCCACCCCCCTTTCTGGTCTCTCTGTGCGTGTCTCTCTCCCCCTGTGTGTGTAATTTATAAGGAAAATTATGGAAATTACACTACCCCATTCTAAAGATGACTTTCCACCCTAACCCTTAAACAAAGACAGAGGGGGCATTAAATTGCCCAGCAATCCAAGAATTGCTTAAGAATGGATAGTGAAATTGATCTGCTGGGAGACAGAAGTGTCTGGGGGTGGGGGGTATTGATTGGACTGTGGGGGCTCATACCCCCCTTTCCCAGTTCTGCCTTAACACTAAATCCTTGGAGGATAAACTTCCCTCAGCTCCCTCCTATTCCACGCCATCGCTTTTAGCTTGCTGTAGTTAATGTCCATTTTGCTCCTCACATTTCTTTCCCAGAGCTATTGACCAGCAGATGGAAAAGTTGCTCGTGTGTGGATGCATTAAGAGGGGGCTGAGGGGTGAGGGAGGGGACACGAGACAATGCTGGTGGCTCCCACCCCACTCCGTTTCCCTACAGCCCCTCGGAAAGGGACCCCCGCTCCACGGGGAAGGGAGACTGTCCTTGCCTGCGGAAGGCATTTTGCTGCATGAGTGTCTGTAGGTGTGAAATTACAACTGGACCTGCTTGAGCGATGGAGTTCGGAAGAGCAAAGTAGGGTGAGGAAATGGAGAGAAAGAAAAACAAAAGACGCGGCCATGGAGAGGCTCAGAGAAAGAAAAGCGTGGAAGGCAAGTCAGAACGGATAAATGAAAGGCTCAGGACTGTTGCGTTATTCAAGGGGCATCCAACCGCCCACCCCAGAAATAACTGCATGAGTGAAATGAGGAGTGAGTGCCCTGCTGAGGGACCAGTGGAGGAGAAATGGGCCAGGTGGGAGTCCAAAACCTGGCCTGAGGGTCAGGGTGTCCGGGGGCAAAGGACTCTGTTTTGGCCATCTCTTGCTTCTGAATTTCCTCGCTGACGCGTGGGACACACTCACAGTAGGAGGTCCAGCAGGAAGAAGGGAAGAATAAATAGACTGAATTCAGGGCTGAGGCTGAACTGTGGGGACTTCTGTGGGGTTTTACCTGGGGACATGCACCCAACTGGCCCATGGCTTGGTGGAGGCTGCGGCAGAATTGGTCTAAAGGTCTAACGGGCTATTTGGGAGGTGCATGGCCAAAGGCCAAAGGGGGAGGCCAGAGCTCTCCCCACCCCATCCCTTAAAGCTCCAACTCCTGGAGAATCAAGAAGGCTTTTCAACCTTTTAAAAGGGCTTGGGAGACACTGCCTAAAACCAATGAAATCAGCAAATGATCGGTGGTTATGGGGACATCTGGGGGATGTGCCATTGAAATTCATGGGTCACACACGCCCACTTTTGGGATACAGGTGCGCTGAAGCAGCTGAGCAGGGCTGCCAGCCACGTGGCTTTCATTACTTCCTCCCTCCATCACCGGCGTGATCTTCAGAGCAATGCTAACAAGGTTGGCTTGACTGGGGGGGGGGGGGGGGGGGGGGGGGAGAGAGGAGGGGGAGAGAGGGGAAGAGGGGAGGGGGGGGAGTGGAGAATGATGTGGGACAGGAGGAGGAAAGGAAAATACACATCTCTC